TATACGTATACGTATACGTATATGTATATGTATATGTATATGTATATGTATATGTATATGTATATGTATATGTATATGTATATGTATATGTATATGTATATGTATATGTATATGTATATGTATATGTATATGTATATGTATATGTATATGTATATGTATATGTATATGTATATGTATATGTATATGTATATGTATATGTATATGTATATGTACAAACTTATTCACACTCATTCTGAAGTTCAAACTTATTATTGCGGGGAAACTAGGGTTCACTACCCACACAATCTTCTAATGATTACAATTTTGAGATTTTCACCTCATTATTCTTTCTTATGAAGGTTGCAACAGAACATTTCAACTATGGTTTTTGCATGACATTATATTGTTAACTAATTTTAGATAATTAGTTCACAGCATTAATGTCATGAAACCAAGTAGTTGGGATTAATGTGGTGTGGTGGTAATGATGATGACGTGACTGCTCGTGCAGGTTCTCTTTTGTAGCACTGAGAATGGGCGAATATCCTTTGTCAGGCAGTTGGAACCTGATTGGCATGTTGACTCAAATCCTGAAATTATTTCCCAGTTAGCGGTACACCTTTTATCATTTTTTTACCAATATTTTTCCTACACTGTGGTTGATTGGCTGGTTGATTAAGTCATACTCCCTCGTCCCAAAATGAACTTGATGTTGCGGTTTACGATGCTTGACTAAAACTATTTTCTATTCAATTTATTTCAATATTGATTTAAAATTTAAATATGAAATTTACGGAGTACATCTTAAAAAACTATGTCAAAAGTCCTACAAACAAGAGATGACATGACTATTATTTTCAGAAAAAGAAAACTTTGACCATGTAAAACAAAACATAATTTTTTGGGATGGAGAGAATATGGTTTTAAAAGGCGTTTGAGGCGGACCGCCTCGAGGCGGTAAGGCGGTGAGGCGGGCCTTTTAAGCCTCAGAGGCATAAGCCTTGGTAAGGGTATGTGAGGCGCACGCCTTGCCTGGCTGAGGCGGTACGAGGCGGTGAGGCGAAACTGAGGCGGTAGCCTCGCTTCAAATTAAAAATTCAGCACCTATGCGTTAAATGATACACCGTACAAAGGAATTGGGCCTTTAAAAAAAATCTTGGGCATTAGATTTTTGTTAAAAACTTCTTACACTTGATAAATTAGGATTTCTTTTGCTTGTACTTCTGCCTCTCCATCCCCAACCTAGCACAGTGCAGCTTCTCTCGCGCAGCACTTCAGCTTCTCCATCTTCTTCAACTTCAGCACCCCTTATCTACAACGCGCCTTTTGTTCCTTCGTTCTCTCCATTTTCATAACATAATTGCTTCATATTCTTTTTTATGGACAAAAATTGCTTCATATTCTAATTACTTCACCTTCTAATTTTTTCAAATTTTTTTTTCCAACTTTAAATTTCTGTTTGTTTTCCCAGCATTACTCTCCCTATTCATCTATGGTTTTTGTTTAATTTATATGAAGGTCGCTTAGCTACAAATTTCATTGTATTATGTAGTGGAAATAAACTTGTCTAATTTTGGTTATGAAGTAGATAAAAAAATCATGAAACTTTATCCATTTTATCATGTTTGAAGACGGATTTGAGGCGTTTGTGACTTTGTGTTTTATGTTATTGTTTAAATTTGTTAGAGTAATTCTCTCTTCTTTTTTGTATTTTAAAAACTATGAGAGGGTATTACTTTTTGCAAAAATCAGGAATTGAAGCCTTTAGATTTCAGCATCATGATTATGGATTATGTATTTAGTAATTACCATGGAGTATTCATTTTAGCTTTGTTTTTTTCAAACTGAACTGAGGCTTATGCCTCGTTCCGCCTCGAGGCTTACGCCTCAAGGCATTTTTCTCCACTGCCTCAAGGCTCGTTTTCGCCTTTCAAAACCTTGGAGAGATTAGTATTTGATTAACTGCACTATTTAATTTTTCATTGAGTCTGTCTATGTATCATATTTATAATTTAATAATTATTCAATTGCACTTAGTGGGAAGTTTGGAGTTAGTTATACACTTATACCTAATTACTAACTGGAAAGTTTAGGGTCAGTTATTCCCACTTAGTGGGAGATTATAAGTTATTACTTATTACTAGCGTAAGTTAGGGCTTTTCTACTTGGGAGGTACCCCAACTTTGAGCCTTGTAACAAATAGGTACCTTATCTTCGATTTTTAACAAAAGGACACCGTCTTTAAAAAATATAACAAAGGGGTACCCCTTGCTAGAATTTTTAGAATCCGGCCGGTGAGTGCACATGTGGCATTCCACTTGGCTTTCTAGTGTACATGTGGCATTTCAAGTTGCTTCCAAATTAACTTGTATAACTTTGTATTTGACACATATAAAGTCAATTTTTAAACTTTTTTAGCACTTTATTTCATTTATGAATATATATTATTTCTTTTAATGATGGTAGATTTCAAAATCTAATTTTTTGATTTTAACCTTGTGGTTCCTAGAAGAATTTTTATTTTAATATTAGTATTTTGAATTTTTTTTCTAATTTACAATATATTTTAAACCAAACTAGCAATGCCTTTTAATAATTGTCTATATTGTAATTTTAAAGGTTAGAATTTCTTATTTATTTAAATTTTTAAATACTTATAATTTTTTGGAGTTAGAATTTAAATAGATATATAAACACGATGTTGCATGAACGTATAAAAATACCCGTTACAACACGATGTTGCATGAACGTAGAATTTAAAAAGATACTTAGATGACTTATAAAAATTCATTACCCGTTACAATAATACCCGGATAGTAACAATAATTATAGTAGTCGTACGGGTAATAATAATAAAGATATGTATTTATTATAATTTAAATTTAAAAATTCCAAATAAATCTTTAAGATTACATTTACGGAGTAGACATGTACACAAGGAAGCCAAGTGGAATGCCACATGTGCACTCACCGACCGAATTCTCAGAATTCGAGAAAGGGGGACCTCTTTGTTACATTTTTATAGATGAGGTAGCTTGACCTACTTGGCTCTTCTTGGCTTTATTAGTTATGTAGTAAAGTTTTAGATTCTTACTCGTATTTTGATATAGATCTTCCTTCATCTTTTTTTTACAATATAATTTTACATAGTAGGGATGGTTTGTGTACCCAGACCTTGCCCTACTCTCCCTACTCGAAAGTAGAAAGGTTGTTTCCTAGAGACCCCTGACTTAAGCCGCATAGATGATAAAAGAGCGTAAGAGATATATAAAGCAGATAGGGAACAAATAAAATACAATGAGAGGCAAATAAGAAACAAATGGTAACCAAGGAAAAGTACTGCAAATAGAAGCTTGAAGCATACAAGCCACACCAAGCACAAAAGTACAGAAATATACTACCTAGCCCAAAGCGTTTACCCAACTAGTCTAATCCTAGTTCTCCAAACATTCCTATCTAAGGTCATATACTCGGTAAAGAAAAAGAAGTCCCAAGTATTGTCTAATAACCTCTTCCCAATTCTTCTGAGGTCTACCCCTTCCCTTATTCCTACCCACTAACGTATGCCTCTCGCATCTCCACATCCCCTATGTTATAAAATATTATTTATAGAATTTACTCTTTTTTCTGAGATAGGAGTTTTTGGGCTTAAAAAGCTGTTTGACTCTAGACAAACAGCTATTCGAAAAGTTCGGTAAAGAGCTTTTTTTTTGGAGCAGCTGCTTAGAGTTGTTGTTTCTTTAGATTGGTTAACAAAAAGCATATGTTTCAAGCTATTTGGAAAAGTGGACACAAACAGTTAACAACTCAGCCAATGTGTTTTTAGGCTTCACTGAAAAACTACCATTAAATCATTAATAACCTCTATACTCCACTTGATATCTGCATATTCTTTTTTGTTTATGTAATCCCTTCCAATAATGAGTGTGCAGAGATTCATCAAATATCAGCTTTACATCTCGCCGACCAAACCCGAAGCAACAGCAGCTAATGTTTTCAGCTCCACTTCCTTGGAACAGTTCTTTGGCTGTGTTTAATGTGTAACTAGCCAAAAGAAAGAGAGAGAAAAAGAAAGAATGAAAGAAAGAGATTGGTTTCAATGCATTTTCTTCCCACTTGTTTTAGGGCATATCTCTATGGGCATTAAGAGTTTGTTGAGGGAGATATTGTAATAATGGTACTGGGTATTAGTCTGATGACAGTGTTTGATTATAATTCATGTGTATGGAGTGTTTGTTGGATATTAAAAGGCCATATCTTTGTATTTGTTGAATGTATGACATCTATATTAATGGAGTCAGATTTCAGATTTGTTGTAAAGTTGAGATATGCATTTACAAGAAATTGAAGATAAATGATTAAAAAAGAAGATGACAATCCGGACAATTATCTGGAGTAGATAATATTTTATGACAATTGGGACAATTATGTCACTATCTTTTTTTGAACGCTATTGATTCCATTACAAGGTAGCATTTGTGCAAAAAATGTCACATCTTTATTTTATAAATTTTAGTTTATAATTTTATATCTTTATTTCAAAAAATTAGATTCAAAACAACTTTTGCCAATAATCATTATCCATTTTGTGATGAAAAGAGCATATATTAATAAATAAGAAAAAAAACTGAAGCAAAAGTAAAATATTAAAAATATATCAAAATACAAGTTTGATTTTTTATTTCTGAAATAAGAGTTAAAATGTATTTACATTATCAATTTTAATCATGTACATTATCAAAAAGTATAGTAAAATGCTCACAGAATGTCACATTATCATAGTGTGAACTCTTATTTAAAGAATAAAAATATGAAAATTCTATTTTAGTACTTTCTCTACGTTTTACTTTTATTTAAGGTGATCTCTCTAATAAATACATCTAGACCTTGTTTCAAAGAAGTGTTTCCACTCAATGTATACTTTGATTAATTTTTTAATAGTGGTGATTAAAAAACGATATATTATAAAAATTCCATAATATAATACGTCATATGCACAGTTATTATTAATCATTACACATGTAAGCATTATTAATTATTAAGCACAATAAAACATGGAAACGTTCCAAGGATGAATAATAGCCGTTGATCAAGTTTCTAACGCCTAATAAATGCTACCTTGTAATGGAATCAATAGCGTTCAAAAAAAGATAGTGACGTAATTGTCCCGATTGTCATAAAATATTATCTACTCCAGATAATTGTCCGGATTGTCATCTTCTTTTTTAATCATTTATCTTCAATTTCTTGTAAATGCATATCTCAACTTTACAACAAATCTGAAATCTGACTCCATTAATATAGATGTCATACATTCAACAAATACAAAGATATGGCCTTTTAATATCCAACAAACACTCCATACACTCCATAAAATTGTCAAAATTAAATACTCCATCCGTCCTCCTAAAATCTCTTCGTTTTGACTTTTTGTGGTTTTTAAGGAGAATTGAAAAAAGGTACAAATTTACCAAAATACTATTAATGAAAATGGGTGGAGTGTATTAAATAAAGTGGAAAATGTGTAATAAATAAAGTAAGTAGGAGTATTTATGATATTTTAAATGCTAAAAGAGATAATGAGAAGATCTATGTGAGACAAATAAAAAGGGCTAATGAGAAGATCTATGAGGGACAGAGGGGATATCATTTTTCGTTAGCCAACTCTTGAGCTGGAGTGCCAAACTTTGAAGTATTTCTTAGATTCCACAAATCTCTAAGAATAAGTACTATTTGTACGTGCATAGTTTATCCTACATCAGAAAATCAAATATTTCATAAATTTTATTCTCACATAAAGAAACGTAAAAGAATATCCATTGAGTTAAGCTTTTGGAAAAAAAATATATTCAAACTTTATATGAAAAATTGGATAAATCTCATCCGACATTTAGCTCATAAAAATTTCAATATTGTATCGGAGTTAAGTTCGGTTCAAGTTCAATTCATTTGCATTGGTGCATAAACGCCACAAAGTGATACAGATAAATGGTCTGTTTGAAAATAGCTTTAAAAAATTAACATTTTAAATAAATTTTAACTATGCAAATTAGTTTAAAAATTACAAGAAGCTATTTTCTAAGGAAGGCCAAATTTATGGGGTGCAAATGCCTTTTTCTCCCCATTTGTTTTCTGGGATTAGGGTTTATGGAACAACGAACGATCGCTGAATCTACGAGCCTCCCAACTGTTTTCTTCTTCTAACTTCGAGACGCGCCAATAATCTCATATCACCTTCACCGCTTTTGACATTCATCCATGCGTACACCCGAAATGGTCGAGAGAAAGGTATACAAAACGAAGCTATGCGTGCTGTATCAGAAGGGCCACTGCCACCGCCATAGCTGCAACTTTGCTCACGGCGATGCTGAGCGGCGCCGATTCTCCGGTCCGTTCGAAGGTAATAGTTATTTCTTGTTGTGTTGTTCTCAATAACTTGCTTTTGTTTTTTAGAATTATCTAGTGTTTGAAATGTGCCCTTTACATAGCTACTGAAATGAGAACGGATGCTTCGAGCAGAGTTCATCCGTGTTTCATGTTCCCCTTCATGTCGTGTGGTACTTGTTCACTGCCATGAGTGGTCTATCTGATTTCGGTTGGATACCGAAAGGTTCCGAGACGATCTTCAATTTTCTTTTAGTATGCGCGTTTAGTTGGCTTAAATGCTCAGTTTTCCCTTGTCATTTTTGTTTGTTTCCCTTCACGTTGCTAAAAGCTAAAACACTTGAAGTTGAACTATTGGTGTAAATGTAGAGATTGAAGAAATTAGCAGTGTTGCAGTGAAAGAGACAAAAATTGCTCAATGTTTTGTAGAATAAGCATTCATTTCTTCAGTTGACTTATTGATAACCATCCTCCACTTTCAAACTACTAGTATATCTGTTGGGGTAACTCGATGGTTTTGGTGCCAGTACATGGCATCTCGATGAATTTAGTATTGGGTTTTGTACCTAGTCGATCAAAGTTTTACAATAGTTTGGTTTCTTATTACATCATAGTGTATTTTTTCATCATTACCGTTGACCATAAAGAAGATAACTGATTTCAATTACAAGTCCATAACCACCAACAAAAAAATACGGAGTAAAAAACAACGTAAAGATAAATTGTGTCGATTATTTTCCTTGTCAAGTTCTATGTCTTTTTTAAGTTTCTAACTTCCCACAATCTATCTAGTGGAAAGCTAAAAAAGCTACTGGTTCAGGTGTATCGTGTATGATGCAGTATTTGTGGACTGCAATCATTTTTACTTATGAATTGGATATTGGCATATTATTGAAATTGGATTGTAAGTATTTCAGGTTTCCGTAGTAAATTGAGGCTATGTATGGGACATCAGTAACTGCAGAATAACTGATGGCTTAGTATATTTATTGGAGAGGATTTTGCTGCTTGGTTTATCATTTATGATTCTTGTGGTATGTTTCTTGGGTTCTTGGTTAATGATGAATCTAGGAGATGCAGTCCACACAAGAGCAGATTTAGGTTTCTCTGGACATAATCGCTTCCATGTGTATTTCTCAATGGCCAGCTTGATGTACTGTTCAAATGCTATATCCTAAAAAATCACTATTTGCATATTCTTCCAGAATTTCCGATTTCCTTGTGACTCATCTCTGAGTGATATTGCAACGGGAATCTCTTCAATGGATCTTTTAGTCTCAAGAGGCCAATAAAATTTCTTTATTACATTTTCTTTGTAATGGATGCAAGAAGAGAGACATATGGATTAACAACAATTACTTATTCAGCAATGGCAGAAGGAAGTCTATCATATTTTATCAGTTACTCCTACAGTATTTGAAGGGCTCTTTGAAAGATGAAAACCTTAAATAATGGGTCATCTATGTCTATGTATTACTTGAGAATTGAGAGCCTAGTCTCTTCAGCATCTTTGCTATTTCCGAGAAGGCACTCTAATTTCATTATTATGTTACTCATGTATTTCATTTTAATGGTAAGCTGTGCTTTATCGTTGAATTATTGCTCGTTTCCTGTTTGTTGGGGTTTACTGTACTAATATTATAAAGTTCCATTATCTATGTTGCTTGATGTCTCGAACATGCTTTTGCATCGTCATTTCAGGTAGGCGAGACTATCAGGGACGTGATCTTAGAGAAAAGCTTAATAGGAGATATTCTCCACCACGTAGATACCCTCTTAGACGAGATATAAGTGGACGACATGCATCCCGTGGTCAGGATATTCACTATTTTTATTTTGCATTGATATTAATCCATTTTTTTTCTTGCAAACTTTTTACTTCTCAGAATGTGTTCTTTATTGTACAATTACTAATAAAACTCGCTATATGATATCAAATCCATCATCATTAAATGGTGCCAGGAAAGAAATATCTAATATTTTTCATTGACAATCAATGCATAACTATGGCATGTGAATTTCTTATTTCATATCTGATATTTGCTTTCATTAATTAATTAATTTATGTATTTACTCCTTTCTCCAAATCAACTTGACACTTTGACTTCGCTGAGTTTAACAAAAATGTTAAAAAGTGAAAAGTGTTTGGTGAAACATGAAAAGTGTGTGGTTGAAATTTATCTGAAAGAGAGAGAGATGGAGAGAGAAAAATAAAGTTGTCCACATACTTATTTTCTTAAAGAGAAAGTGGAAAAGTTTGACTTTGACTTTTAGATAATGAAAGTGTAAACTTGACTCGGAGATGGAGCGAGTATTTATACTCCCTCCCCTAAATATTTGCCACACTTGTATTCCTGAGACAAAATATCAAGTTTTTTCAATTCATTTTATTTACATATTGGTATGGAAATAAAAAATAAAATTTACATATCAAAATACTACATGAAAAGTTCTTCGAAATAAGAGGTGTCAAGAATATTTTATTTTATCAAATAACCAATGAAAACGTAGAAATAAACAAAAGTTCCCGCGACTGCTGAAAAAGCAAATGTTTTGAATATTTTGGGACGGAGGGAGTATATGATATTCGAGAGGCAATTGTTTTTTTTATTATGTATGTTTTATTCTAAAAATTGTAACTGTGGATTTTATAGGTGACAGTCCATCGGGATCTCTGGAGAAGAGGTAATTTCCCACAAAAATATTTTTGCCAGTTAAAAATTGAATCCATCTGTGATATTTATCTATCAAACTTGGATTTGATATTTGTGAATTCATTGAACAAGTGAATATTATGTTGTTTCAGTATGTGCTAAAATTTCTTTTTGTTAGAGACATATAGTTGTTGACTTTCATAGTTGTAATTTGGCTGGAAACTGGAAAGCCCACTCTCTGCTTTTTTGAGGTTTAATTTGATATCTTTAATGATACAATGTCTATCTTTTTGCTTTGCATTATATAGATATATACACCCTCTTTAGTAGGAACTTGCTTTTTTCCATCATCTCTGATGGAGCCAAAGATTCACTATTTTTTGGCTTTGGGGTGATGGAATAAAGCAAAATGGATCTCTAAACTGTCTGCGCTTTTTTAATTAATAAAGTAGTAGCTAGTCAATGAATACAATTTTTGACGCTGTGCCGGGGGTCTCTTTGGCAGCAGCCTCTCTACTCTCGAGTAGGGGTAAGGTCTACGCACACACACCCTCCCGACCATACTCTTGTGGGATTCAACTGGGTTGTTGTTGTTGTTAGTAGGAACTTGAGAACATTGCATTGAAACTCTCATTTAATATACATATATTCAAGTATTCAGCTGTCCATGTGGTTCTTTCACTCATTAGCATTACCTTCATACTAGTCAATTGTACTTGTCAAATGTTTACACTACGAACTTAAATATTGGGAGTCGCACAATCAATGTAAATTGTCTGGTTGCTCATTTCCTTGTTTGCGAGCTCGGTTCCAAGGGAAGTGTACAAAGTTTTTATTGACTACAAATGCTTGAAAAATATCTGATTTTGAAGTATTCTCAAAATCATACCATAAGCGCGCATCAAAATTTTGAAAAGACATTCTTCCATGGTTGTGTGTGCCACACATAACTCTATGTGTACATTATGCACTCAAAAATATTAAATTGGTTATACCCCAAGCCTTTTCTAAAACCAGTTGCATCTGAATACATAGCGTAATTGTTTTTCTTCATATTGCTTATTAGTAGAAAAATTTCCATGTAGTGATAGAAGACGCCGAAAGAGGCAGCAACCAGATGGCCAGAGTGACTTATCTGAAAGTCTGCAAACATCAAATGAGACCCAATATCGCTTGAAAGAGAAGAAGTGTGTCTCTTATGATTCCAAGCACACTCTTAAGGTGAATTTATTGGACAGTATTTTTCTAAGCTGATCTTGGCATCTTTAGTTTTTCAAACTTTGCTATTTTTGGTTCATGTTCAGTTTATGTTATTGTATGCCATGGAATCTCACTTTCTCCCAAATGCTTAGATATTGTGACTCTGGGATTTGTAGGGGTGTAAAATTAGGAATGTATCTGAACCAAATGGTCCGTAGTGTCAAAGCCACACCCCACATCCTCCCTCTCTTGTATGTTATATGTTTTTTTATGCTTGTGACAAAATATAAATCTTAATTTTGTAGATAAGGCAGTTGCAATCTGAAATCAAGAAGCTCGATGACCGCAAAAAAGGATTAGAGGTTAGTTTTGATCATTTTAATTTTGTGTAAGTATATGATTGAAATAGTGTTTAAAATTTTGTCCCTGCTCTCTACTCTCTAGTATGCTCTCTCTCTATCTCTATCTCAATATTGAAAAAGAAGAAATGTTTGTCGGAGTAATTTCAAAGTGCTAGGGGAGTGCCACTTAAACACATTTAAGTCCACAATTGCACTTACAAGTGTCACAGTATTTAGAGTGAACTTGTAACCTTGCAAAGAAAAACATCTTCAAGAGTCTTGAGCCCATCAAGCCACCTTCTGCCCTACAAAACACTATCTATCCCTTCTAAGAAGACCTGGAGGAATAAAACATTAGGGGTCTAATTTCTTCATAGGCTACTTAATTTTACTAAAGGGTACTGGGATGTTCAAGGAATCAAGGGTACTAGTTAGGGTACTAATTAATGGTACATCAAGTGTGATGCCATACTAAATATGGTGGCACACTTATGGGGTGGCTCTTAGAGTTTCCTTTCCTATGATTGTGTTTGCGCATTAATTGTGGTGTGTTACCAAGTAACTGATTGGGTTTGTCTTCCAATCAAATCCGTTTGTCTGAGCTTGTAAATTTGCTTGGGCCTTCGTGCTTTTCGGGATCTGATGAATTTAGGATACATAATCTGAACATAAACTACTATAAAAGACTTTATCCTAAATTTCTAATTACTCCCCATGTCCCAAAATAATCTTCCCACATTTCTTTTTGGACATCCCGGAATGATATTTCCATGTTTATGCATTCATTTTCACTTCTTTTTAATAAAAAATACATTCTTACTTTCAACAACTTAAATGTTTACTACCTTCTACTTCACCTTCACCATACCCAAAAAAGTAGGTAGCTCATTTAGATAATTTTCCATCCAGTGTTAGTCTATGCACCATTTTCACATGACAAGATCAATTGAGGATAGATCCAAAGGAAGTTTATTATATCATTGTTATCTGTTTATTTCTTGACATTTAATGAGCAAAATATATTTAGAGTCTTAAGAGAAAAATGGTCTGAATTTAAAACTTGCATAGGTAGTGCTCTTTAAATACTTAGTTACTTATCGATAATGTTTTTGATTGTTGTAAGGTCTACCTGGAAGATAGAACTCTAGAGGCAGAAAAACTGGCCTTGAGAGTTGAAGAGCTTGAAGTGCAGTTGTTCAAAGAAAAAGATGAATGTAAAAGGTAACTACTTGAGCTTGTAGAGGTTTTGCCTTTCTTGTCCTACATTTAGCATATTCTTGCAGATGATCTGTATCTTTAACACAGTTTTCATGGTCTCTTCGATTTCAAGGATATCATCCAGGATTAAGAAGTTCATTGAAGCACATAAGCACCTCTCTCGTTTACATGATGAAGTTAAGAGGTATCCTTTAACTGTAGAAACTTTTCTTTTTCCCTGACACCTTTATTTTTTTATTTGTTAGATTATGGCTGGCCCAAGTATTTTCTTCTTTAAGATCCTGTAATAAAGATTTAACAGAAGTTCTATCAACCTGTAGGTCAGATGCTCAACTTCGAAAACTTGGTGAAAAACTTTTCTCAAGTGCTAGTGCAAGCGGGGATGATTTAAGCATGAACATAGTAATTGATGGAGAAGCTGTTGCTTCCCCCATCATCTATGGTGAGATGAGAAAGAAGATGTCTCCGCGTAAGAAAAGGTCACGAATGAACCCAGAAGATGGGGAGGCACCAGGTCAAGGTAGGCATGAGAGTGCATGATGATTAACTATTGCTACTTCTATCAGTGGTTGTGAGGATAGCATTCTTTGGGTCTACTGTGTTATAAAGATCTTTTTTCTCAATTATATATCTTAAAAATCAGTTTGCCTGTATATGCATTCTAGTATGTTGCAGTTTTTTTTATTTTTTAATTCTAAAATTCATCTTAAAGAGATAAGTCATGCTTTAAAGATTTAGAGCAATGTCTTCCTCATCTCAACCTCACTCTGCTCTTTTTTTCCTCACATTTATGAAGAGTACTACATTGTTTTTGTGTATATTTTACCTGATCCAGCTTTCACATCTGTCCATGTCATCATTCTATTATAACTTCTAGTGGTATTTGTACTGGTAAATGCTAAGGTCCACACAATTTTGCGTAGACCTACAGATGAGGGTAAAAAGTAAATTCTTACTAACTTGATGAACTTTTTTTTTGCAAAAAACAAAATTAAAAAAAATAAAAAATGCTTTTGATGTGAGAAGGTCCACATAAATTGGTGTGGACCTTAGGTTCACCAAAGAAGCACTCCTTCGTTCTTATTATAAATTGGTGACCGTAGTCCTAGCATTCATATTATGTTGATGTCATTGATCCCATCTTGCGTGTATACTGAAACATTTTACAGAGTAATTTCTACTCTGCATGAAAGAAATCATTTTTGTAAACTTGAGTAGAGTAGATGTTCCAATTTGCAGAATTTAATAATAATTTTCTCTACACATCCCGGATTTCAAAAAGTAGATGTTTTTGTCTTTTTATTGGACATTGGAGTTAGCAGGATAAGATGTTTATAAGTTGTTTCCATAATTCTCACACTTATGCTTCTCTCTCATTGGTCTTCTGCTAGATAAATATGATTTATGCTCTATGCTATAGGTAATCCATCAGAAGGAGCTTATGCAGAAATGATAAGCTTGGAAAATAATCATTCTCGAAGAAATGTGCTTCAGATTCAATCTAGTAATGACAAAAAAGTGAAGGCAGATATCATTAGAACAAGCGGTTTTCAGGATGCTGAGGGTGAAGACAGGCCTGTAAGAGGGGAAGATTGTTCTACCAACATTGCATTGGTGGAAAAGGTGCTTCATATCCTTTATCTTCCCATTAGCTTACACCTTTGGGTTATAGTTTTTATCCCCAAAAAAGAAATGGTACATAATAAGGATTGTAGTGAGGGCATACAGTTTCATTAAATTTGCATGTTATCTTTAAGCTATTATGAACTCCGTTCTCTCATAACATTGGTGAATTATTGCTTTTGTCGGTGTTACTACAACTGCAATAAACCCAGTAGAAACTCACTAAGAGCATGTTTTGGTCTGGTATGGTGTGATTCTAATAAGAATAAGTAATAAGTTTGGAAGAATATGCCCTAAGTGGGGTCCGGAGAGAGTGAGTGTATGCAAATCTTACCCCTTCCGGGAAAGTGGAGAGATTGTTTCCAAATTTTTTTTGTTTTATTATTATTATTACAATTATTATTATTATTATTATTATTATTATTATTATTATTATTATTATTATTATTATTATTATTATTATTATTATTAGTAGTAGTAGTAGTAGTAGTAGGAGTACTACTACTACTACTACTCCTCCTAGTGATGTAAAGAGTATATGCTCCTTGAAATTATGCAGCCCAAGGGAATTTTTGAGGCGTTGCCTTCAACAGGCATGGCAGCTCATGCTGAGGATGAAGATGTTGAAGTTGTTGAAATAGAGGAAAAACATGGGATGTATGAGAATGCTTCTATAGTAGTAGCTGGAGAAGCTGTTTTTGATGTCAAAAAGTTTACTTCTCTACCACCTCCGCCACCACTTCCAATCTATAAAGATTCTTATTCACAGGTCAGCTGATAATTATGTGAACGAGACTAACCCTTAGGCAAAAACCAATTTGAACCTTGTCTGATATATAGTCCCTCTGGCCCAAAATTTTGTCCACTTTCACTTTTCATTCGGCTCACAAAACAGTTCCACTTTCAATTAAAATCTCTTCTTTGCCCCTACAAATTATTAACCTACGTATCACATCATATATATTCAGCATTGATCTACCAATCACATTCTATTCTACCCTACTATAAAGCAAGGGAAAGTTGGAAAATAATACTCAAACTACACATTATATAAGTCCAATCTTTTTTCAGAGTGAAAAGTTTTATGGGACGGAGGTAGGATATTATGTCTTGGAAAAGTGACAACATGAAAAAAATTTGGAAAAGAGACAATGGAAAAAACACTATTGGAAAAGCGAAATGTTGCATGCAGTATTATCTAAGTACATGGGCGTGAAGATATCAAATTTTGTAGTACATGTCTATTTTAGGGGGTGCTTGCTAAAATTTAAGGCCATAAGGGTATGGGAATCTGATTGGGTGTCATGGTGGATAAGAATAAGAATGGAAACACTTTGAATTCTTACCTTTCCAAAAGCCCACAACAGACTAGACTACTGCCACCACGGTGTTGGCTTGTGCATATGTCCCCCCCCCCCTCCCGAACACCGACCTAGTTGAGATACTATTGTTCAATTGATGAAAACTTGAACTCCAGACAACAAACAACCATTAGGTTAGCATATCTTATTTTGAAGGTGGTAATTGAGTGAAAGGTTATATTGTTACAGAGGGAGTATCAATTTTAGTATTTTCTATGATCCTAACTTCTAGAAATACTCCTTTGGCCTTTCATTACAAATAAGCCACTTTAGTACAGGCCTTTTGTCATGCACTAAATTTTTCATTTTTATTTTCTGTGCTTATTATTATGCTCTTATGCTACATGTTAGGAGAAACCGAATAACAAATTCACAATTTTGCAGTTGATGGGCCAAGACGAGAATGTGGACATAGATGGCGTTGATGAAGAGACGACAGAAGTGGATATCGTTTGAACATGTACTGCCTTAACTATGATACTTCTAGCTTTAGTATGGTAGATATTACCCTATATATCTTTTTTTGTTCATCACCATATTTTTATGCATTTCCTAGAAAAGGTGAAGAAAGAATTTATGCATCATTATTTGTGTGCATCTGCTTTTTTCAAGTTATGGGATCCCTACTCATGTGTTTTTGTCTATAACTTGGTTTTCCTCAAATTTGGTACCCATTTTTCACGGTTTGATTCCTCGGATGACTGGCCTGAATGATTCCAATTCTATGGGACAAGGTACCCAGGTTTTCAGCCCGGTTGGTCTGGGTTTCTTTTCATACTATATAGAAACCGTTTAAGGTTTTTGAGAAGCGTTTTAGCTACTACTATTTTGATGGTGTTTTGGAGTGGTGACTCTTTTTTTTAAAAAAAAAGCAGAAGTGCCAAGTGAGGAGCAGTTATTTCTATTTTTGTTGAAAAGCACTTGTAGAACTTTGTGTACTTCTGAAGCCAGAATCCATAAACTAATGTAGATGGCTAAACAACCAAAGATGTACTCCGGGGTATTTTGGTAAAGCTGGAACCCAAAAGCTGTTTTTTTAAATGCATTCAATAATTCCCTCTTTGTATTTTGCCTTGACATAATTAAATGATCACTTTTTAACGTCAAAATCCAAATAAAGGTTGGCACCTGCTTAAATTATTGTCGCTTGGACTGTATTTTACAACACTTGCACAAATTTATCATTTGCTAATTTTCTTCGCTTTACTATTTAGAGGAAAAGTGGGAAACCATGTCTTTTATTCATAAATTAATCATTTAAGCAATTTTATTTGCGCACAAAAGTTATTGGAGTAGAATATTATGCTTCAACATATATAAATGATATCTGCTTTTATTTTCACCTTAAGTAACCATTTATTTATCTCATAAATAAAAGTAAAACCATAAATCTAATTTTTCTAAAAACATTCCTTGTAAATTTTTTTTGACCCTATAGATTGGACATTTCTGAATCTGAAGCTTCTTGTGCTCACTCGTGAATCTTAAAGCAGAGTGTAGTTTTGGAGATAACCAAATGGTTCTAAATCCTCGTACCTAGCAGACCATTACTTGCACGCTGGACATCATCAATTCTGTTCATATGGACGGACCACTTTCTGTTTCCGTATCAAACTCAGAATATAGCTTCATGCCTTCATATACACACACACACACACACACGTATGTATGTATGTATGTATGTATGTATGTATGTATGTATGTGATTAGGATGGAAAGAGAGGATAACAACATAACTCAGAATAATAAACTACAAAAACAGGTAAAAACCAACCTGATTTTGATAATTCATATCCACTCTAAATTGAAAATTCAAAAAGTAATGTGCCTTAAAAATTTGATATTATTTTCTAATTATGATTCATCTATTCTACACAACATATACAACAAGCTCTAACATTATTGGTGTTGTATTTTTTTGCCTCTTTATCAATATTCCACACTTGCACTTGTGGTCAAAACCATTTAAAACCCGTTTTTAATTTATAAGTTCGCCCTAGTTCTATAGCCACAAGTTTTCAGTAGCTTCGGAAGTCAACGAACAAATTGGGGCACCTACGGTCTTCCGTTCCCAAAATTGATTATTCCTACCCTCCCTAACCCCCGGTACCCCCACCCAGTCCCGACCCCAACCCACACCTCCAACCACGTCAATATATATTTTATTTAATTATAGGTCAAATGTTAAAAATAATTTATTGAAAAAAATAAAAATTGAACAAATACTCAGGGACAGAGACATTATATTTTTTTTTCCTTCCAAAAAATTTCCCCAAACGTGCCCTAAGTTTTTCGCGGCGTGCGGCTGATACGGACCCACTCCACTCGCTTTCTGTAACTCGCGTGAGCCACCGCGTTTCTTCGGCCTCACCGCTCCTTCCCTCCCTCCCTCCCTCTAGCCCCCAATCTAAGATATTTCGCTTTCATTTCCCTTCTCGAGGGGCTCCACGTCAGACTTCCGTGCGCCGGCGCAATGGATTCCAGTCCTCTGGCGGCTTCAGGCATCGATGATTTTGTTCACGTGGAAGGAGGCGGAGCGCTGGCGGATTCCAATTTTCAGCCTCGAGGCTCGGAGGAGAGCGCCGCGGCGGAGACCTCCGACGCGAACGTGGAAGATGAGTCCCGAGGCTATGTGAGGAAGGTGCTGCCGGAGGAGCTGTCCAAGTGCGTGGTGATGCTCAATTGCGAGTCCTCGGCTGAGGGCGGCAATTGCGATGTGTTTCTGCTCGGCACTGCTCATGTGTCTGCGGTAAATTCTATACTATTTTTTTTTTGTTCCTGGGTTTTGATTTTGCACTTATTAGCTGCTGATACGAGAGAGATTAATTCGGTCTGCTCATGTAGCATGGAAAATGTGAATCAGAGATTATACATTGCTTACCTCTGTGTATATCAGCGTTCACACTGGCATAGGTTCTTGTTTTGTGACACATTGAGAAGAAATTAATAATTTTGGCATGCTTTTCATGTGAAAATGTGGAATCTTTCTACAGTGGTGAAGAAAGTAATGATTTTGCTATATTTTCTGATGAAAATTTCTGCACCCGTCATTCTCATAAACTAGATCACTTTAAAACCATAGATTTCTTAAAGGGTGGTTTGAATATCACAAGCTTGGCATCATAGGAGATATATTATTATCTCCCCTTGTTCTTGGCTAATGTCAGATATTTTTAGCACTTCAGCAATTTTGGAGTTCATACAAGTTTAAAGTTTTATGAGTTGCAAAAGTTTGTTGGTGAATGCTTTTATGCAATATAATTCAATGAAATAAACGAACACTTCACTTCAAAGTAGTTTGGGTAATGACTAGTGATATGTTGGATGGAGAACGAGAGGTTCAGTGGTAGATTTTCTGTTAGTTCATGTAGTTGACCCCATGGAACTAGGATTAAGGCTTGGTTGCTGTTGTTGCTAGATTTATTATTTAAAAGGAATTATTTTATTGGCTTATATTTGTTTCTCCTTTTAAAATAAAGCAAACAACACAATTTTATTTTCTTAATAATTATGTAATGTTAAAGTGGGAAGATAATTTTGGGATGGGAAGGATTTCTTTTCAGTTTTCACCCTTGTGTAAAAAAGTAATTTTTGTGCCCTTGATTACAAGCAAAAAAATAAAAACTACAAGTTACTTGAAAAGTCATCATATTACTTAGTAGAAGCTGTTTGGTACCATTTAAATTTCAGCTCCCATTTGTTATACATGGATAAGTGTTTGGATTAATGTATTAGACATAATGAAATGATATTAGCTTTTATATCTAAGTTCCTTCTTTTCTGTCATAGAGGTCAATCTTTTGCGTTATACTGCAGTATATATTTATTTGATATGCAACTGACTGAAGTTCTTGTATATATGGAGGAATCTTGCCGAGAAGTCCAAGATGCAATTAATTTCTTAAAACCACAGGTATTGTTTCCTTGGCACCCAAAAACATTTTTTTCGTCCATCTGAAGGGAAGATGGCTATATTAGATGTTGTATTTAATCCTCCTTAGCTTTACTCTGTATCAAAACTGATATGAATGATTAAATGCAGGTTGTCTTTTTGGAGTTATGTTCAAGTCGTGTTGCTATACTTACCCCACGCGATTTGAAGGTTTGTTCTCACATCTTTAACACATATCTTTGTTGTACTTTGTAGCTCGATATGTCTAACACGAGATTAGGATTGCAACATGTGCTAGGCATAGAAGTTACATGTGTGATCTATGTGTATTATTACTCCCTCTATCTCAAAATTATCATCTTTCTTTCCTATTTGGGTTGTCTCAAAGTTTTCTTTCTCTTTCCTTTTAAGGAAACAAATATGTGGTTCATATCAATTATTTTTCTTCTACACAAATCACAACCACCTAAGTTCCATTTTATTAAAAATTGTGCTAAGTCAAACCCGGAAGATAATCAGGGACGTAGGGAGTATAATTTATTGTTATTTTTATTATTTTGTTCATTTACATACTTACTAGTGTTTTAACCCATGCGATGCCCGGGTGAAATGGAAAATTGTATATTGTACTTCGTATACGTTACGGGATGCCAATTTGATTATAATGACGTGGAAAAGAATTAGTATAAGGAAAGTGAGAAAAATCTAGAAAAGTATTATACAAAATCTAATGAAAATGATTAAAATCTAACAATTGTTTTATCATCCCAAACTTGATACACTTCAAACTTTGAAAGTCTCAAATGTTGAATATACTTCATATTATATATGAATGATTATATGATATGCATCATATGATATGACTTGTAAATTTTAAAATGTAAAGTGATAATAATGGTGGTTAGACTTAGTTAAAATTTACCCAATAATTGAAGCAAATGGATCATAGAAACTTTAAATTTTAACTTAAAATGATAGTAATAACAATGAACTTATATGATAAAATCTTAATTTGGAAATTGTTACTAATAAAAAAGATGACATATGTCTGAAAAGAAGGTAAAGTCCATAACTAAATTAGAAAGGTAGTTAAAAGTTAAAACTTGACAATTGCCATTTGCCAAATCATTCTAAAATCAACACGTAACAATTTTTCATTAATAGGAGTCTAAAAAAATATAGTGGAAGATGTTAATTTTTTAAAACAAATATTAGAATTTTAGCATGTGTTAAATTTATAAAAAAATAAATAGTGAGTTAAAAGTGTAATAATGGTGATCAAATTGATTTGATTATGATCTAAAATGCTAGTAATTAGAATTACAATTAAAATATATGACATGGTTTTATTTGGAAGTTGTAATTACTGGTAAAAAGTACGATGCTATACATTTAAATGATTCTTTAGAGTAGATTTAAACAGGGGTGGAGGTAGTAGAACTACTTAGACCTTACTTCTACCTAGGAAAAGGAAGAGAGCTTGCTCCCGCAAGAACCACGGCTCAGGAAATTTATGACTCATCAAATTAACTAAAAAGTTGTAGAGTGACACATGTCAATTTCTTCGGAAAAGGAGTACCAATTATCATATCAAGATGTTGGAGTTCCCACATGAGAGAATAAAGAAGAACACCACTAGCATATATAGAAAGGTGAAACCCTACTTATCAGCTTATGCTTTTGGGATAGAAAGTGGATCCCGACTTTATATGCAAGTGGTTAATTTAACCCGACACTCTGCCTGTTGTTCTCGGTCCACCGGAATTTAACATGGTATCGGAGCAGGTCCGGTCCGGGTTCAATTTTTCCTGGTTGTTTGGATGTAGGAGCTATCCGTCCGTGGTTTGGGTTAAGTTGGCTAACAGAGATTGAGAAGCCACTGCCACTGCCCGTTGTGCGGGCTAGCTATAAGAGATCAAGATGCTAAACCCGTTTGTCCAAGTGATAACTAAACCATGCTAGACCCGTTTGTCTAATGTGTAATGCATCATTATTAACACTACAAATTTTATTTTAAAAACGGTGGGGTTCTAGTGACACCGGAGTACGGTGACACTCCGATGCCACTGTCATTTTGGGGCTCTTTCGGTGCTCCGTTCGTAATAAAATTGACGGTTCCTACCCCTCTAACCCACCCCCTAAACACCCCATCCTACCCCCGCCCCTGCACCCCCACCCCAACCCCGCCGTAAGCCCCCCACACATTTTGTGGGGGCTTACGGCGGGGTTGGGGTGGGGGTGCAGGGGAGGGGGTAGGGTGGGGGGTTTAGGTGGTGGGTTAGGGGGAGTAGGAACCGTTAATTTTACGAACGGAGCACCGCCCCAAAATGACATAGTGTCACCAAACGTGAGTGTCACTAGAATCTCACCGTTTTAAAAAATACTCCGTATCATATCTTATTATTAAAAATGATTTAGATAATGCGTACTATAATTTATTAGAAAATTAAATAAAAAAAACTAAATATTTTAATTAAGAATATAATTTTATCAATATGTTATAGAGTAAAAAGTTTAGAATGTAAAACAATCTGTATGAAGCACGAGATTTAAAATAGATTAGAAAGTAGCGGGGTGAAATTAGTATGTGGGGTGACTTTAGTGTTTTGGTGGGGTGTGGCTATCACCACCCTTAATTTAACCTGGCATTCTGCCCATTGTTCTCGGCCCACCGGAATTTTAACAAGATATTCCATATTTTGGCACATAGTTGCATTTTTCTATTAAAATTTTATATGCCATGCAGTTCTCCATGGAAAGAAGGTAAGATGAGGAAGCTTTGATATCCCTCATTTGGTTTACCCTGTTTTACATTTCCATGCCTTTTTTGTTGTTTATTCAATTATTCTGTCTTTTGCCTGTCAATTTGACCAGAAATAGCTTTGCCTTTGTATGTGTGCAGTGTATTAGACCCTTGTGTTTGTGTGCCTGATATTTGTTTCTTGTGTATCCGTATAGAATCTTGAGGTTCCTCATATAAGATGGGCCCTATTTACTGTATCTTTTTGTTTCCTTCTATTCTGACCTTTGAATGTGCATGCACTGATAGATGTTGCACTTGCTTCTTCCAGATACCAACAATGAGAGAAATGGTAGACATGTGGAAGAAACAACATAACTTGTTTGCAATTCTATATAGCTGGTTTCTTGCAAAGGCATGATGACCACCTGAGTTGCACTGTCTAATTTTCAACTTATGTTGCTCATATCTTTTGTTATCACAGCCCTTGGTAAAACTCTATATTACTGGTAGGTTGCTAGCAAGCTTGATGTTTTACCTGGGGCTGAGTTCCGTGTTGCATATGAAGAAGCAATGAAGTATGGTGGCAAGGTGATTCTTGGTGACCGTCCTATCGAGGTTAGTCACTACTTATTTTCTCATTAGTCGTTATATATTTTATCATTTCCTTTTATTTGGATTTTGTTGAAATATACAAAGTAGTCTGTAAGTCTTATTCCTCCCAAATTGTTATCTAGTATCTTCCTCTGTTGTACTACTCCTGGCCCATGTTATTTAATAGTACTACGTAACATTTATAGTTATAGTATGTAACTTTTTAGCATTTCATTTTATACCATCTCAACCTATTCATTATCAACAACTCTTGATTTTTTCTGCACGTCAATTCATGAATAGGCTTTCATTGCCAATGGAGCTAAAAGAGATATTGACATTGTTTTTGCTTCGGGTAAATAATGGAATAAATCAAAATTACACAGTAAACATCCTTTGCTGCTTTCTTTCTATGAAGTTTTGGGAGGTAAATGCAGCAATGCATCTAGGGGCTGACGGAAACAAACTCTCTGTTTTTACATAAGTAGGCTGTGTACATCTTGACTCTAAAGGGAGTTGGGATTAATGGATTCTACTGGGTTGTTTGTCAATTCGTGAATACAGCTATTTACTCTTTGTCTAATTAGCTTACTTAGCTCTTCATTGTTTATAAATTGAAATTGGAATATGGAGCAGCATAATCATTTGTTTTCGGGTTGCTCCTCCCGCATTAACATAAATGCATCAAGCTGATTAGTCTCTTATGTACTATTTTAAATTTTGCAGTCTATATGATGTAACTATTCTTATCCACTGTTCTTAATGTTAAATCCTTTGCAGTCTTTCTTTGTTGAAAATTATTTTTAAAAAAACTGAATGGATGTGATATATGATGCCCCTACAGGTGACATTGCGAAGGACTTGGGCAAAAATGCCACTATGGCACAAGACAAAATTAGTTTATTCTTTGATGTTTCAAGCAGTTTTCCTACCAAGCCCTGAGGACCTCAACAGAATGGTATGCCTTTTGCTATATAATTTAGTGATGGCTTCTTTTATAATACAAACATAACAATAAAATGATTCTCCCATCCGTCACAAAACAGGGTCCTGCCTTTTAATATTATAAGAGTTATGAACAAATTAAACATAAATTTTGATAAACAACGAAATAAACTTGAAACATTTAAGTATGGTTGGTTCGTGAAAATTGCACCTTATCAAAATATAATGATGTATCTTGATCCTCTATTCATTTTTTAATACTCCGTATATTTTATTGACGGATAGAGTATAATCTTGAATCAAAATGCGGTAAGCTTTTATTTCAATGCAGTTGAAAGAAATGGATGATGTTGATATGCTGACCCTTGTTATTCAAGAAATGAGCAAACAGTTCCCAACTCTAATGGAGACTCTAGTGCATGAGCGAGATCAGTAAGTGCTCTATACTTATAGCAAAAGGCTAAGGTTGAGTTTGAACCGAACTGCCCTTATTTGTGTGGTGTGGCATTGGTGAACACCAGTTTTCAGCAGAAATGCACATTGACAAACCAAATGGGTGATGTTTGTCTTCTGTTTTCAGGTATATGTCATCAAGGCTACATGCGGTTGCCTGCAAACACAATTCCGTCATGGCTGTTGTTGGAAAAGGCCACCTAATTGGAATGCAGAAACACTGGCAGAAACCTGTCGATGTCGGTAGACATTTTTTTTAAAAGCATATTAGTTTTAAAATCCTCTTCATTGAATGATGTCGGTTGATCCATATAGCCTTATCTGACATAGTGGAAAAGGTTTAGCTCTCTTTGGTTTAGTATAAGTCTAAGAAAACCTGAAGTGGCAGGAATGACACAACCCGTGAAGTATCTCCTCTTGTGTTATGGAGGTCTAGGGTTCAAACCAGCCTCTTAATCAGGGGTAGGTGCCCTAGATATCTCCTTTTCTAGATGCAGTGCCCACCCCATTTGTGTAGGAGTTCCGACATTGAGTACACCTTTAAAAATATGTATTCATTAGTTTCGGAAACCTGAGAGCATCTGTTACCATTAAATTTTGGGGTCTGTTTGGAACTCAAAAAATGGTACGAAATAAAAAGTAGGAAAATGAAGGAGAAATTTGAAAGGAAGTTTAAGGTTGGATGATTTTTTAAAAGTTCCATACTCATCAATCCGTTCTGAATATTTGTTCAAACTCATTTGCCTATTTGTTTCTACCATACAAAGGGTAAGGAATAAAAAAAATGTCAAATGCTTAAAAAATACTCCGTAAATTTTATAGAATTTGATTTTCTTTTGTACTTGTCATGGTAGAACACTAGAACCAAACAGCAATAGAGCCTTATCTCACTAGTTAGGGTCGGATACATGGATCAAACGATGCCATTGTGCCATATCATGTCGTCCACACATAGGTCACCCTTGACCACTTTGTACCAAGTTTTGTTAGGTCTATCCCTTCCTCTAACCAACATGTCTAAACATTGTAGAACCAAACATAAAAAACTCACTAGTAAATGACTTGGCCCTTTTTTCTCCATTTTCCTAGCATTTTCCATGATCCAGTCATTGCCTTAAAAGAACTGTAGTTTATTTCTCACATAATGCACAAGCTAGTGCACTTATTTAGTTACTTGTGTACAGCTGATGGAACTGCTTAGAGAACCGTCTAAGAAACCCGGTGTGCCTGTCAAGAAAATGTTGGCAGCACTCGGAGTTGCAGTCGCGGGGGCAGCCATAGCATCCCGAATATATTTCTCAGCCAAGAAGTAAGCAACTTTCCCCCCCTAATATAAGCACATTGACTATATATATGAACAGGAACTGCATATATACAGAGAGAGGCTTTCCAAGTGTGGAAGAGCCCTAAACAATTTTCTCGCGGTTACTTATAGTCTGTTAGTTTTGCCCTCTTCTTCAAAAATAGGTACAACATCTCTTTGTCTTTTCCATTCAATGGCGACAAATAAATCTTCTTTACAATAATATTTTTTCTTCTTTTCATAAACCCGGAAGTTTTGACTGTTTGAGCAAGCAACGAAAACAGTTGGTTAGCATCGATTTTTCTTGCCCGGTTTTAGTTTTTCCTCTTTTTTTTGGTTCAATTTTTTTAAATTCTGGCTGGTAAGTTGTGGTACTAGAGAGAGTGAAAGAGTTGAATGAATATTTGCAACAAGAAGAAACCCAAGGTTTTCGTTAAATCTCCCCTCTAGCATTGCCCGGTGCAGTTATAAAAATGTCATTGATCTAAATTTATTTTAAAAAAATATCTCTCTTTCATTTCGTATCTATATTGTCATTAACTTTTTATTAACTATCAAAAATACCTCTCATCCCTTTTGAGTTTTGACCGATTAGAGCAGGTTAAAACAAAGACAAGTTTAACAGATGTCACTCTTTATTTATTTTTATATGTCATTCGTTAATTAAGAATAATGCTCTGCATTATCTATGATTCACGAGTTTTAAAAATTAGTACTCCGTATAAGTTTTAACTTTATTTTAACGGCTGTAACTAAATTGAGTGTTATTTTTAGTTAAAGAGTACTTCCGTCGCAATTTAAATCGTCTGTTTTGATTTACGATGTTTAATTGAAATTATTTTCAATATAATTTATTAGAAAATTGGTGGAATTAAAAACTAAATTTTACACATTAAAAAACTACACTAAAAACTCTACGGAATATGAGGTGGCATAATTATATTATTTTATGAAATGAGTAATGAAAATAAAAAAAAGTGAATGAATTTTGATTTTGTGAATAGTAAACAAGTAACTTAATTTGGGATAGAGAGAGTTTATTCTAATTCTATAAATTTAAAATGATCTTCTATATTTTTAATGAGTTTTTATTTCAAAATAAACTAATTTAGAAAGTTAATATAAGTTTAAATGTTTAATATCGTTTTGACGGCTGTTTAGGAACTATTTGTTCTAAATTCCAGTTTTGGGCTTACATTTAAGAATTTTCTACGAAATATGTTTAAATTTACCGTTGTCCTTAAAATTTTGAGCTTCAATTTAGAAATTTCTACTACCTTTGCCTAGTCGAGTTTCTTTCTAAATTTTTAAATTCTTTCACTTTTTGTTAATTTCTTCTAATATCTTTTAATTCTTTAGGTTTTTTATAACAATTTTAAATAGTGAAAAACAATCTTCTCAGTTCATGTGACATAGCCCGGTAATGTCATAGTATGACCTAGAGGTCTTATGGTGTTTCATTCGTAAAATTGAACCCCGACAAACCCTCCCCATCATCTCGTCCTGACCTGAACCCACACCTCCCCCACGTCCTTCAGCTGCACCCTCCAAGTTTATTTTATTTTTGAGTTAAAATTTTGACTATATTTAATAAATTGAAACATAATAATATATTAGAAAAAGTTAGAAGGAACTAGAGGTGGCAATCGGATCAACCGGATTGGTTTCGGGTTGGATTTTTTTGGATCGGATATCTTTCGGTTATATGTTATAATCGGTTCAGTTCGGTTCGGATCGGTTAAATTTCGGTTCGGATTTGATTTCGGTTCTATACATTTTTCGGTTCGGTTCGGTTCGGTTTCGAGTCGGTTCAGATACGGTTCGGTTATAAATTGGTTCGGATAGATTTTGGTTCGGATACAATTTGAGTCGGATATATCTCGGTTTCGGGTCTAGTTCGGTTCGGATATATTTTGGTTTCGGATCAAATATATTTTGGATATATATTATTTTCAAATTTTTCTCACATCTACTAATATACTTATATATATTATGTTCCATTTGAATACAATTTGGTAAAAATTGAGTAAAATTGGGTGAAATTAAGTGAATTTTATTCAATTGAGTACAAAATTTGTAAATTATTGAGTATATATTTGGTTGAAAATAGAGAAAATTAAATTTAATAGAGTCAAATATAATTAATTTTACACCTAAATGTAATGGTGTAGATCAAATTTGAAAATGATAATAGTAAAGACTGCCGCTAAAGAGTCTTTTCAAAATGCTAACACTAGCATCTAATTTTATTGACTTATATTGAGTGAATTGGTTTGAAACTAATCAAATTAACTCTCAAATCAATAAAATTTATTGTAATAAGATGAAATTAGTATAAAATCTAGTTATTCCATACAATTCATCATATATTCCTTTCGTCCCAAAAAGATTATCACACTTCACTATTTAAAAATTACGGAAATTTTATTTGTTTCTGCGTTATCATTTATATGTATAACTTATCTTTAATTTTCTACATATAATAATTTTAAGGCATAAAATTTTGTACTTTTTTTTCAAGAAGATAATCCATTTTATGAGGGAATAAGCAAGTAATGTAATTAGTTCAGATGGTAAAATAAAAGTAAAAAATTAAAAATATAGTATGCTTATTGAAAGGAAAACGTAGTTCTGAATTTATCGATTTTAGTTCTAATCGGGTTTGGATATTATCGGTTTCAGATCTAATCGGTTTCGGATTTTATCGATTTCGGGTATTATCGGGTTCGGATCTAATCGGTTTCGGGTTTAATCGGTTCAGATATTATCGGTTTCGGATCTTATCGGTTTCGGATTTAAATCGGATATGAATTATTTAATTCGGTTTCGGTTCGATTCGGATCATTTCGGGTTTTCGGTTATAGATCGGATCTTCATTTTTCGAGTCATTCCGGTTTCGGATTCGGATATTTCGGTTCGGGTAATCGGTTCCGGTTCTGTTTTGCCAGGTCTAGAAGGAACTAGATTAAATTGAGGTGTGCATTAATTTAATTAAAAATGACATGTATTAACACACAAAAAACAGCCCAACCATCATTTAAGTAATTTCTTGAATCAATGGCATCTATTATTAAATTTTAGAATATTAAACATAAAATCATAAATTTCTGTGAGTATTTGTGGAGTATATTTTCTTATTTCTATTCTAATTATCTTAAATGAAAAACACGGAGTAACTAATAAAACACCATAGAAAAATAAAAAAGAAATTACATGAAAACAAAGATTTATTTTGTAAACATGTTAGAAATGTGTATATTATGAGTAAATTTCACATTTGCTCCTTCATAACAGAAGATTTTTTATATTTCATACCACCATATCATCAAATATTACGTCGGTAGTCCTTGTATTACTTTCCACAAATATTATGTTTGTGTTAATTTGAGAATTAAAAGTACCAAACATTAACAATAAATCCATACGTATTCTAATGTCGGTAAGACACACATCACAACAATAATGACTGAAGGTAGACTACAACTTGCAAAAGATCATATATCTATAGACTATAATTGTAATAAACATAACTATGATTTACAAACTACACATCTAAATGGGGCTCTCAAATTATCAATGACAAAAAAGATATAGAGTAAATGATAATCATGATATCACATTTTTGGCTCTTGAATTGAACGTAACATGATACTCTCTCCGTCCCAGAGTATTTGTCCACTTTCATTTTTACACATCATCCAATGCATTTCTTTAATCTATTTTATCTTGTAATTTGTATATTAAAAAATTATAGAAATTATATATTAATAATCTATATGTTAAAACAAATCAAACAAGATCACACATGACTATATTTAGGCTTACACATTGAGAGAATTTGATGGGTCAAAGTGTTTAAATAAACAGTTCCAAAAGTCAAAAGTGGACAAAAACTGGGGGATAGAGTGAGTAGAAGATTAAAAAAATTATTTGTGAAAAGATAATCATAAAAGAACTGCAAACATAATACTCCCTCCGTCCACAAATAAACTTTTCATTACGCGTTACGATGTTTGACTGAAGTTATTTTCAATTCATTTTATATAAAAAATGGTATAGAATTGAAAAATAAAAATTAAATATAAAAAAACTATATCAAAAAATCTATAAAACTAAAAGTGACATGACTATATTATTTTATGAAATGGGTGACAAAAATAGACCAACAAAGTGAATAAAGTTTGACCCTGTGAATAGTGAATTATTTGTGGACGGAGAGAATATTTAATAATAAATAACTAAATACAAAAAGTTTCAAATTATAAAGAACCTATCATCAAATACACTCAAATTATATTTATAAAAGTTCCAACTAGTATATGGATATCCAAGATTCTAAATACTCCATTAGAAACACACAATTCCAATTTTTTTTGTACCCTCATCAGCTCACACACCAAAACTTACAGCAAGCTACTCATCTACAGCTTAAAAAACTAAGCTACATATCAAAATTCAAGTGCATGGATTTAACTTTGTAATTAATAAAAGCCTCCATATGGAAATTAATCCAAATGCTACTTATTTCTTGCCTTCCATAGACAAAGAGCATATCAGACTTTTCTTCCTCCCTTCAATCTGCATGATGGATTCCTGCATTTCCTTGTTTGTGCTGAATCCAATTACAATTACTGGTCTGAATATCATTCCTATAACCCCAAAAATATTTACAAACCAGATCTAAAATCCATTAAATATATAAAAAAATTGTGAAAATTCTCAAAGAAGATTGCTCAGAGGAAAGAGAAGTCGTTTTTGTTACAAGGCTCACGGAGTTGACCCACTGCCCATTGACACCAATAGGTGTTCCTCTCATCATAGCATTCTTAGATTCATATACACTTCAAAACTAAATGAAAAGAATTAATTTTTTTTTTGAAAACAAATCTCAAATCCAATAAATATTTAAAAAAAATTAGTGTGAAAATCTTCAAACAAAAAATGCTCAGAGGAAAGAGAAGTCGTTTTTAGAATAAGGCTCACGGAATTACCCACTGCCCATTGACACCAAAAGGTGTTTTTCTCATCATAGCATTCTTATATTTGTATCCAAAAAAACAAAATTAAATGTAAAAAAAAAAAACTCCATTTTTAAAGAATAAAAATTTATGAAGTAAAAAAGAAAAAGGGTTTCAGTGTGTGTAACAACAATCAGATCATAGATTTGCAATCTCACTGAAATCCGCTAAGATAATTTATGTCATCATCATCAACCCATATCT